CGACCCACCGAGGCCCTCCACGGATAAACCAGCCATGCCGTCGGCCAGCCGTGCCTCATCCCCGCCGACCGCCGACCCCGCCGCGGCTGCGGCCCCAGCTGCCACTTCTTGCTGCTGACGTTGAAGTTGCTGCGTCTGCTGCTGCTGCTGCCGCTGCTGTTGCGGCTGCTGCTGCGGCGGCTGCTGTTGCTGCGGCGGCGGGTTCTGCTGATCCTGCTGGGCTGCCAATGCCATTGCGGCAGCCGCGCCCGCCACAGTGGCGGAGGGAGGGACACCGCCACCACCGCTGCTGCCGCCGCCGTCGGCGATCGAGGCATCCACCGACGTACGGATCCCGTCGGCAGGCCCTTTTCCGAGATTTGGATGCGAATCCATGTCGCCCCGAAAACAGGGGAAACGTAGACGCGAAACTTCTCCAGTCCAATACGTCACGCCACGAAACGTCACGTGCCACAAAGAAACGTCACGGCAGATAACAACCCTTGGCCACCACACGCACACGTGCTCTCGCTCGCCCCCGGTTAACACGGCGAAGCGAATAGACTGAAAACAGAAAACCAACATGTACAATTGTATCCAACACCAATGTTCGCAGACCCAAGAACAGCTCACAGGGGCGTCTCACTGCTGTAGCATGGCAGGATGGCGCGCGCACGAGAAAGGGAGAGAGAGAGAGAAGAGAGAGAGAGTTGCCCACTTCTAAATCCCATGGGCTTCCCACGCTTGAAACGCGCTCAAAGGGCGTCAGTTAACCTGATCTTGTCACCTACCACAGCAGAAAGAGTGGGCTTGTGGGTGGATGTGTAACGTTGCACCCGGGAAGTTTTGAACTTGAACGGCTGCTGTTGTTGTTGTTGTCTTCACATTAAAAACCATCCCGGTCTCTCTATCCAGTACCTCCTTCTGTCTCAGTCTCTCCGTACTAATCCAGCACTTGACTCGGTCAATTTCCGTGGTCACAGGCTAACGTACCTAGAAAAGGTATACCAAAAAAAATGGACCCCAAGGGTTAGCAGAGCGATAAAATATATTAAAAAAAAAAGAATCAGAAACAAATAAATAAATATATAGTGGAACGTGCGCACCACCAGCCTGGGGGGTAGCCTTCCGGAAGGACCCCAGGGATCAACAGTACGTGCCAGTAAAAAAACAAAACAAAAACGAATTAAACCAAAGACAGACGAGGACATAACCAAACTCGCACAGAGACAGGGATATCCGTAGAGACAGTCTGAACGCGACAGCAAACGGGGGAGAGCTGTGAGGACGCAAAAATTATTTCAGGCTGCGGGGTGACAGTCCCGACCGACGGAGATCGCGGCTAAAACCTTGACGCCCCGCAAAATCGTCGAGTCAACTAGCGCACAGATCCCGGACACCGGATAGCCAAGCGAACCAGAGCAGTGCATCAGTGGCAATTCCTGGTGGTGCTTACTCTCGCGAAAGACTGCTCGTGAAGCATATCCCTTGTTCCATCGACACGGTGGCCGGCGTTAAGCGGCGTTGAGTGATACTGTAGACTATACCATCCAGTTGTGTGACGTTGCTGCTGTCTCACACGGGACAGGGTGAGAGCGTTGAGCGCACGCGACTTCGACTGGTGGGGGAGGGTCGAGGAGGGAGTGTAGAACAGAGTCATCGCATCATGGCGGCTCTGTCGTCCACTGCTGCGTCTGCTGACGTCGGCGAAGGTGAGCAGCGGTTGGAAGTGAAAGGCCTGGGGATGTTGGGCTGCCGTGGCTGCGCGCTTTGGATCAAGCCGGTCGTTCACCAATACTGCTGTGGTTGAAGGATGCAACACGCCAGCAATGCTGTAAGCACCTCATCGACGCGGTGTGGTGTTCCGCCCGTTGTCCATACCTCGTGCACCACACACTGGGTCCTTTGCACTAGCACCCGTACAGGACAGGACTGCTTTACCAGGAGAAAGTACCGTGAGCAACATAGTTTGTACAAGTATTTTATGTGTGATCGCCGTTTTGGGGGTGCGCACCCAATGTTGGGCACATGTCAACACCTCAGGTTCTGCCAATGACACCTACATATAACACCCAAGACAACGATGCGTGTACTCACTCTGCCTTGCCTCACCGCAGCTTTTGTGTGTGGTCCTTTCTGGTGTTTTTTTCACACAGCCAAGAGTGGACATCTCCCCCACAGGACCCTTGTCTGTGCATGCATGCAGTATTGATTGTACAGCAGTTGTCAGGGTTCTGCAGGATATGTTGCATGTTACATGCATGTAGTCTATTCTGCTGCTTTGCGTTGTGGGCTTCTTATGAAGACTCGGCCCATTCGTGCCTGGTGTGTTGACCGATATGTTTACTTGCTTGCGTGCCTGCGACGTTGTAGTTGTAGAACATCGGGGGTATACAAATCGACCTGCATCAGTCGTATCTCACGCGACTAGGCAACAACCCTGTGTCTTAGTTTATCAATTCCATGTGCATTCTGTTTCCCCTCGTGCGAATCAGAGAGGGGAACGGTGGTGGTGAGCCTGCTGGATTATGGCGCGGGAAACGTGAGGAGCGTTAGGAACGCCATCAAGGCTTCGGGGTGAGTCTGTCTGCTCGCCTCCTCTCTCCCTCTTTCCCTCTCTCTCTCGTTCCCTCAACATTCAAGATGGCATTGCTGTAAACGGGGTTGCGGAAAAGGAAGCGGCTGTGAATCGATTCTCAAGTACATCCATGATGTTTTGAGGCCGAAAGATCGAAAACGATCTTCCGGCTCATGGCTTCCCGACCTTGAATGTCTTGTAGACAGACAACTTCTTCATGGAGCAAGAGCACGTACGTTAGCACTGAGGGGTTTCGCTGGGGGCGTGGTGTCATCGGAGTCCACAGCCGGAATTGAATACTCCGAAAAAGCTGGATCCAAACGAAGTGTCGTTAACTGCCGTCCTCGCCGCAGCGGGCCACAACCCTCAGGTCGGGCAAGGAAGCCACGTTGTGGTGTGCGCTGTTGCTGTACAGCGGCGCCTGAGGAGATCGAATCTATGACGACGAGCACAGGAGAAAAGCGGAAGATGGATGGCTTGGAAGCCCGATGTGCGCGTAGACTTATCCGACCGTAAATGATTGCACCCTTTTTCGCGGCAGAGCCCCCAACATGCAAAAATCCGAGTTTTTGGCAGCACGCACGTCCGTCCTCCCAGAACGGCAAAATGGTATTTTTGCTGCTTGAGCGTTCGCTGCGTGGACTCTTTCAAAGATGTAGACTTGCGGACTCGTTTTCTTGGTTGGAGGTAGACGGCCTGATGTGCTGGTGGAGACAAGCCCCAACCGCTGCTCCGGCGGACATCCAAATGGGTTGTTTTTTCTTGCCCAACGCTCTTGCAACTTGTCTGATGTGTAGACATCCCGTACGTGATCACTGGATACTCTTTTCGGTGGTTTTCCACCATCACCAAGTCAAGGCTGGTTGCCCGCACCCCCTTTGAGGGATCCGGGGTGGTGACGCGGCATCGCACGGTGCATAGCACGGTGCATAGCACGGTGCATAGCATGGTGCATAGAAAATGCACGTCAAGCGCAGGAGCTTTCGTGGTGCAATTGCAATTGATACATCGTGATGCGATGTGACGAAAGAACGCCTTGTGACTTGTAACCTCCGTGGCCATTGCAGGTACGCCACCGTCGACGTGCTCACCCCTGAGGACATCGAGAAAGCAGAGGTATGTGACGCCCGGCAATGTTCGAGCGGACGCACGGTTCGTTCCACCGAAAAAAGTGTTGTAAAAGTAGGGTTTCGTTTTCGGTTCCAGGTTGCCGTCCATGGGCTTCACTGTCCCTCGGCTCCACTCCACCGGCTCCAACAGGCTGCTGCAGAGATATTTCGCGTTTGATTCTGGAGCCGATACTTCTTTCCTCTCTCGCCGCATGCATGCACAAGCTAGGATATGTTTCGACGTGACCATGGACATGGATCCACTACTGTGCTATCCAAGTACTACGATGTGGTGGTGCATGGTATTGTATCATTTCATTGATACGCACCGCTTTGATGCTTGGTCCGTCACAAAGGTGTCCGAATGGTTTGCCCGCAGGGTCATGTGGCCCGCGTTGTGCGTATTGCAAGGCGATTGTGTCCTGCGCCAGAGTATTGCGATGCCCGCCCGTGTTGGTGATTGGTCCTTTGCGACCGTTGGTTTTCCATAGCTTCGTCTCGCTCTGTGTGAGAGTCGGAACGCACGCCAGGAACGTTTTCGCAGCAGGCTGGCTGACTGGCTTGCCTGCAGATATCAACCGTTTTCGACGGCTACGGCAAGAGGTCCGTCCGTGACGGTATTTTCCTGTTCGGGAGAATTCGGCTCGGTTCTAAGCGGATTAGTTGCGGCGGCGGGTGACCCCGTGCTGGTTCGTCGTGGGACTGCTGGCGTTGCGTGCGCCTGCTGTTTTAGTGCGATGTTGCCAAGGAGAATGAATGTATATGCGTTCGTGCGATGTTGGTTCAACTTCGGGGGAACGGCTGCGGTTGCATGTTCAGGCACATGCTTCTGTGTTCGGGCGCGATTTGAACGTCCGGTGATTGCGTAGCATCACGCACGCCAGGATACGCGCATACTTGTGCGTGAGGCATGTGAGTACGATCGTCGTGTGCTTCTTCTGTGGGCATGTATGCATTCGCGTGGCTTCTTTGTCTCAACGCTTGGGTGAAGGTGATCGTGTTCCCCGGTGTGGGATCGTTCGGCAGCGCGATGGAGACCCTCAATGACAAGGGCTTCACGGGGCCCCTGACAGAGTACATCAAGCAGGACCGAGCTTTCTTTGGCATCTGCCTGGGCATGCAGGTGCGATGCTGGTGCTGGCCCACCAACGTGCTTTCTTTTCTTTTTTTTATGCGAATTGAATCGATTGGTTTGTGGAGCCTATCGCTATTTCCGTCTGACTGCAAGGAACGCCCTTTGGAAGCGAAATGCAGAGATGGTCCCCCCCCCTAGTATTTCGAACCCCGGGTTTCGTGCTGTCTCGATCTTCGAAATAGGTCATCGACTGAAGGTTGCCGGTTGTGTTGCACCATGGCGATGCTGTGAATAATTTTGAACGGCTATGTCGAAGAAGGCGGATCGTGTGCTGTCACCTCAATATTTGGCGTTCGCTTGTGAAGATGCTCTACACGGCTGATCCTCGCCTTCCTTGCGGCGAGATGCTTACATGTGCGTGCGACTGGAGCTGCGAGCCCGCTGTCTTCCCACCCCTCGCCGCCCCCGTCAACGCGTGCTGGTAACGGCTCTTGATGCCGAGCCTACTCCCGGGTGCTCGGACGTCTCTCTTTTGTCGTTGACGTCCTGTTCTTGTTGTGGTCATGAAGTCTCGTTCCGATGGCAGCTGAAATAATGGTCCTTCGTGTCGTTACTTGCTTTCTTTGTCGGTTCATTCATGTCGTCTTGCCTTGTCGTCGCGGTCCGGTGACCAAAGACTCTATTCGATGGCAGCGAGGAGACCCCCGGGCTGAAAGGGCTGGGCGTCATCCCGGGCATGGTCGCGAGCTTCGACCCTGCCAAGGTGTGTCCTCCGTATCCGCTTTTCTTGTCCCGTTCCGATTTTGCTTTTAGAAAATATACCTACAAAGTCGCAGGGGGATAACCCGCTCGAGATAGAAGCACAGCAGTCGAACGGAATGTGTTGCAGTCTTTCCAACGAGCGGGAGAAAACCGACTGGATATGGCTTGGGCCTATCTTGATTCTAGTCTTTAGCCTCAAATTGTGTTCATTTTTTTTTTAGTTTCGTCGTGTGTGAAGCACCATATGGAAGCATTGAAGGAAGCATCAAGTGGATGATTTTGGGGCGTGGGGGTCTATTGAGCCCATCCCAAAGTCGGGAGCTTGCTGCTTAGTTTTGGTTGAACGAGAAAGTACCGTGAAAAGGTAAGAACCAGCCAGACCTGCGTAGACGTGTGCACATGTTTGGTGGCATCTTGTATCGTGCTGGTTTTTTTTTTTGAGGTTTTTGAGGTATCGGATGGTATAGGTGCTGGATGGAAGGGAGTGGGGTAAACGGTATCAAACCCGTGGGTGCAAGGGGGGTTGAAAGGTTTCTCACTCTTGTAGTTTCTATTCACCGTATATGACACAAGATAAACCACCCCCTGGACCGATTTTCAAAGCTCGATTACTCCACGACGAAGAGGACGCATAAACGAAATGATACATTTTCGAAAAGCTCTCGACGAGACGGTTCAACGCCGCCGTTTTCGGCGCTGTGACTGTTCCTGCAGTTGAGAAATCCAGCTTCGAAAATCTGTCAAAGGGGTGTGTTATATTGTGTCATATGCGGTAGTTCCCAATGCTCATTTGTACATATATTGAGCTTCCGCTGGCATGCCAAAGAAAAGAACCGACCGGTTTCTCAACACCAAATCATGGCTTCGTGCGTTTTGTTTTGTTGTTAATGTGAACACGAACCCAGACCGCTGTGCCCCACATCGGATGGAACGGCCTTTGCGTGAAGAAGGAGCACCCCTTCGTCGATGCCTTCGACACCGACGGGGACGCGGTCTACTTCGTGCACAGCTTCCGCGCGACTAGCACGTGAGAACCCCAACGTATGGAGGGCGACGATGTTTTCGGTGGTTGTGTCTGCTGTGGGTGTTGCTGTTGGTGTTGCTGCTGCTGGTGCCATGTAGAAGCGTGTGGTGTTGGGGTTTGTTTTGGTCCGGTGCACAGATTTTCAGTCACCATCCGACTAATGTACCACCACCATCGTACCGACTTGATACGGGATCATCACGTCATACGTTTTGGAAATTGGTTTCGGAGAGCTTACAACCTGTATCTGATGCTGATTTACGTGACCCCCATTTGACAACGTTTATATTTATCCTGTCGTGATGGGTTTTCTTGGAGCAAGCTTTTTCTGAATGCTTTCTGAATGCACGGCGACCATCGCCCTCCCCGTCCCCAACGCAGCCCTTTTTGTTGTCGTATATCTTCTTGTATAGTGTTGACCGGCACACCAACTGCACGATTGCTCGGGAATGTTACCAACACACGCCCAAACGTGTTTTTCCTTCTCGTGCCAAAGGGGCCACTTACACGCACGTATTACTTGGCACCATTCGCTGCCGTCCAATGAAGCTTCGGTCATAGTCACACACCCCTGTTGCAATGTCCTATTTCCCGGGCTGTGTTCATGCTAATCATTGTCTTCTGTTGATGTTGTTGTTGGTGTTGTTGGTGTTGTTGTTGTTGGTGTTGTTGTTTGTCGTCAGGCCCGAGAACGAGGAGTGGGTCTTGAGCACGACAACGTACGGCGGAGGTGCGGGAGAGCCGCCGGAGCACTTCATCTCGTCTGTGCAGAAGGGGAACGTGACCGCCTGCCAGTTCCATCCGGAAAAGAGCGGAAAGGTGCTTGATTGATTGATTGATTGATTGATTGATTTTTGGGGGGGGGGTCGAGAACGGCATGAAGACGGAAGGGGTCGAGCACGGCATGACGACGGAAGGTGGCGACCCACACAAAAGTAGCGAGAATAAGATCTCGCGTGTGGCCTTTCTTTCTCTTGCGGGACACCCCGACTGTGCCGTTCAAACCTGTGTCAAACCTCGTCCAGAATTGGTGGGAGGACAGCAAACACACAGGCAAGGGTTGCAGGGTTAGGTTCGCGTTGTTATTGTGTGCCGGTATCTCCGACCCGTGAAATATTTTCGTGTCTGCAACTCGCCGTCAAGGGCAAAAGAGAGCTGCAGACGTGATTACGTGAGAGTGTAGTGCCCGCCCTCGCAGCGTTCGCTTCCGAACCCTTTGCTTGCCAAGTTGTTGCGTTCAACGTGTATTGTTGTCGTATCGGATGCTTGCCATTCATCGCGAATCGGCCACCGACCACCTTTTCTGGCGCAGGTGGGTCTCCGTCTCCTCGGGGCGTTCCTGGATTCCGTGGGAAAGGCAGGGGGCGTTTCGGGCGAGGGGAACGGGGACAGCAACAGCGGTGGAGGGAGCGTCAGGGGGAACGAGGACACCAAGCTGGTCAAGAGAATCGTGGCGTGCTTGGATGTCAGGTACTGCTGTGTACTGCTTCTTGCTTGTGTTGAGTGTTGAGAGTTTATCGGGGTTCGTTGTTGTTGTAAATTCGGGACAGGTTCTAGATGAGGTCATCTTTTTCCCTATCCGTTGCAGAACGAGTGGCTCCTCGGGCAGATACTGGACCAAAAGCAAAACAACTCGAGTGTTTAAAGGGCCGAGATAGAGACGAGGGAAGGAGATGGGAGGGAGGGAGGGAGGAAGGACCGGAATCCCTCAGTGTGGTCCCGAGTTGTGGCGTTCCTGGTACGTGGGACCGTGTGTCGTGGCTCGATTTCGCGGTTCCCCCAACAAGCTTGCATGGATAAGCAGATGCTATCAGTGACTCTTGGTAATCTACAGATGATTTGTGCCATATATTATGGTACTAGTCATCATCCAGCAACCACCGCGCTTGCTTACGCTTGGCCCCAAGCGAGAGAGTAGCTATCCAATGTCAAGGCCATGTCGTGTCGTCTTGTGTTAGCACACAGCACCCGCTGCGCCAACCTCGCTTTCGTTTCGTTGCGCGGCTCCGTTCACTTCGCTGTGGTTTGAGTTTCGCACTTGTGCTGTTTGTGGTTCAAGGGACCTGCCGCAAGAGTTTTTGCGCAGACAGTCTCATGCACCGGTGCCCCTCTCTCTTCTCCGTGTGCACTTTCTCTTGCCACCACGTTCTCAGGTCCAACGACCAAGGGGACCTCGTGGTGACCAAGGGAGACCAGTACGATGTGAGGGAGGCGGGGACTCAAGAGGGGAGGGGGGACGTCAGGAACCTCGGGAAACCCGTGGAACTTTCCGGAAGGTGCGTACGGATACCATTTTTTTTTTTTTCACATCCCGCGTGTGTGCTTGCTTGCTTCGTTGCCGGGGGTGCAGCCGGGTTTTGACCGCATCGCCCGAACCATTGTTTTACCTTTCCCACTTGCTGTGTGTTTGATTCGTTCGAGACTGTTGGCCCATTGACTGTCTCCCGCCGCCTAAAGCGCAATTGACGGCCCGTTGGTACTATTTTAATGTCCGTCGTGCCATTTTTCCTGTGAGTAAACTGCGGGTATAGCGTGTGCTCCATGTGACGGGTAGGGAGAGGATGCGCTCTGTTTCTTTTCGCCCACGGTACCGTGCTATGCCATGTATGCTTCCGCCGTGAAATAGTTTCTGCTCATGTGCAGGCAAAGGTAAGAGCTCGGTGGGTGTACTTCGTGTGGTACTTCTTATCGGCTTCGCTCTGTTGTTGCTGTGTTGCTGGTGTTTTGAACCATGGTGTACAAGACCGTGATGCGAAAAACCGTCGTGTGGAAGACCGAGGTGTGAGCAACCGTCGTGTGGAAGACCGAGGTGTGAGCAACCGTCGCGTGAAAACTCGTCGTGTGATTAATGTTGGTATGAACTTGTGATTGCCGCAGGTACTACGAGGAGGGAGCCGATGAGGTTTGCTTCTTGAACATCACGTCCTTCAGGCAAGGGGTGCTCGACGACCTCCCCATGCTCAAGGTGTGCGGATGCATTCATTCATGAATGTGGATGTTCGGTTGCTCGTGCATGCATCGTTCTTGCATACCACCTGATCCCGTGACTGTAATTGGTGTTTCGGCACAGACTTCCGTAAGAAAACGGGATACGGTAATGGTATAGAAGTACCACCTTTGGTCACGCAAAACATGCGAATGACAGTTTTCTGTTTCTAGGTCAAGGTGGGGGAAACACCAAGCACTGCTTTAGCGCACACGTTGAAGTCTTGTGCGCTTTCATCTTTCCGCTTTTGATACAACACAACACGACATGCGGACGGCCGACTTCCTTCGTTTTTAGGTGCTGGAGCTCGCGTCCGAACGTGTGTTCGTCCCTCTCACCGTGGGAGGAGGCATCAGGAGCCACACCGACGACTCCGGGAAGGTGAGTCTGGGAGCCAGCCGTTCCACGGAACGGCTGCTGCCTGTCCGTGGAATGATACCGGGGACCGGCAGCATGAGGACACATGTAACTACTACCTTGCAGACCCCGTTCAGTTTTCACAGCCGGGGAGCAGTAACTACTCGTGCTGTTTTTTGGCACTTGCCTACGGGATTGACAGCTGGCGGTTAAAATAGTTGTCGGGGGGGCCCCACGATACAGAATGCGCTTTTCGGGGTCCGCGGCACGCACGGTAGCAGCGCCGAAGTACACAACACCGTGGCGGTTGTGTTTTTTGCAGGCTCTCTCAAGACGAAGACTCGAACTACTTTTTTTTTTTTGGTGGAAGGGATTTGAGGACTTCTGTACCTGTGATCCTTTTTTTTTTTTCTCCGTCCCCGCAACCGTTTTCCATATGTCACTACCCCCACGACGTGTGCCCTCATTGTTCAGTTCAGTGGTCCTGAAAGGTATCTATCCACGATTACCTTCTCCCTTTCGTTGGTTGTAGTGTGTTTGCCAACGTTTGTGTCCCTTTCGCTTGCGCGTGGTGGTCATGTTCCAGACGTACAGTGCCGTCGAGGTGGCATCCCGATACTTCAGGGCAGGCGCGGACAAGATCTCCCTGGGCTCGGATGCCGTCTACGCCGCGGAGGTGTGTCTGGCCTCTGTTTCATGCCGCCGTTGTCGTTGTTGTTGATGATGTTGATGTTGTTGTTCTTGCTGTCGCTGTTGGATATGGTGTTGGCGATGATCTTGCTGTTGTTGCTCGGTGGTAGTGGTAGTGACTGCTGCTGCTCCTGCTGATACTCGTCAGTTTTTCGGTCGACAGCCCGCAGCAGCTATTTCCACCTTGTTGTGTTCATCACAGTCGTTACGCGCGATCTACATTTTTGACATGTTTCTTCACCAACACGTGGCCCGAATCCATTTCATTTCGTTGTCTAGCACTAGTCAGCTCTAGCATCCCCTATGAGGAGCCATGCCGATCGGCCTCTTCTCTCTTGTGAAAGTTGCAGAGTGAAAGTACTTCAGCCATAGTGGCGTTTCGGCGTATCCCTTGGGCACTACAGAGCGCGCCATCACTCGCTTGTGTTGCCTGAAGCTGATTTGGAACAGTTCGAGAATCCACTGTGTGGTTGAAACACCGCCGGCCTTCCCCTAGTACATCGATGCTTCGACTTTCCGGTTTGCTGCACGCAGCAGCTGGCAATTTAGCACCTCTTATCATGCTTCAAACACTTTTTCCTCATTGACGGGACGATTTTCTCAAGCTGCCTTCTCACGCCGGCGTGTACGATCCCACAGGCCCTGCTCAAGCGAGGTGGAGAGTTGACCGGCGACAGCTCGATAGAGCAGATCTCTCACGTCTACGGAAAGCAGGCCGTCGTGGTCTCGGTGGACCCCAGGAGGGTGAGCAGGACAACACAAGGTCCCTCAATAGTGGGGTGTAGTCCCCCAATAGTGGTTTGTGGTTCTTCATATATAGCAGGGTGAAGTACCCTCAATGGTGTGGTGTACTCCGGTGTAGAGTGACGACCGGAATCAGCTCCGCACTGCTGTTCAGTATCTGTCCCATGGGTATATTGCGAGTTTTCGTCTCTCTATTGAAGAAATGCAAAATTCTGCTCCGTGGCTATCCCTCTGTTGATGCTGACTTATGCGTCAAGACACCAAACCATGGCGGTACCCCTTTCCTTCAGAATAAACCGGAATGCGCAGGACGGCGTGCAGCAGCACGCTTTGTGTATGTGCAACCGACACCCTGAGGGACGAGGGGGGTGTGCAGGGTGTTGCTGAATAACAGCCGTCTCTAAACTCGTTTGTTTTGCATGCGCTCTTGGGAGATAGATAGCCCAGTGTCTTGTTTGTTCTTGTCTTCGGTTGATACGTTGTCGCAGCCCCCAGAACGTTCAAGCTGCGGCCTTGTCTCTGAGTGCTCTCGTTCCGTGATGCAAAACAAAAAAAAACAGCTGCGCATCATTTTTGTGGTTTGTCCAGGTGTACGTGGCTAACCCTGAGGACGCGCCGAAGCACACGGTTCTCAAGATCAAGGACTCGGACAAGGGGGGTCCAATGGGACAGAGGTACTGCTGGTACCAGTGCACGGTCAAGGGGGGAAGGGAAGGCAAGGACATCGACGCTGTCTCGCTCGCCAAGGTATGGTATGTGGTATGCCGTGGTATGGTATGGTGCACGTTGTGTGCTGTCTGTCTGTTGGAGACTCGGGCCGCCATGAACGCTTTTGCGTGTTTTTCGTCCCATCTCTTGCGGTTGCACCACCTGGGGCAGTCACAACATACATATATATTTTCTTTTTTGTGGCATGTGATAAGTGTAGTTGCTGCTGCTGCTGCTGCTGCTGCTGCTGCTACTGCTGTCGTCGTTCAGGGTGTTTCATTTCAAGTGGTGATAAAAGCGAAGAGAAGGCCATATTTGAATGCTTTTTTCTTGCTTGCCTTCTACCACGTTCGATATCTCTCCACGTTCTGCTTATTTGCGCTACGCATTGTTGATATGACACGTTCCGCGGGTCACCCTCTGCTGGAACGGTCCATGGCTCTCGGAGAGCAGAGCTGCGAGACACTCGGGGCGGGAGAAATCCTGCTGAATTGCGTCGACATGGACGGCCAGAAGGACGGCTTCGACCTGGAGCTGGTCAAGGTAACCGATTACTCGGCATGTTTCGGGTGGATGTGTTCTGTCATTCGGTATGGGGATGGGGTCTCACCCACATAACATCATCCATCGGCAGGGTTTTGGATGTGACTGCTTGTGCTCGTCGCTGTAGCCCTCCCTGTCTGCGCCACCAAGGCCACGTAACAAAACCAGGAGAGAAAAATTATGCGACAAGCAAGGCGTATCGACGATCGAAAGTTTCTTCACATTCATCGTCTTCTAACTAAACCCGGGTGATTTTTTTGTTTTTTCGTTGACCCTCTGAGGGCCCAACTCCATCCACTCCAAGCGGTCCAAATGTCTTGCGTACAGTGCCAGAGGTTGTCCCGCCCATTTCAGTTGACCGGTCATAACTTTTGACTACAATCATGGGTTTCGACATTTTTTTCACGTACGTATTGCCTGTGACGGCACCCACAAGACCCGATGACGAAAAAATTATTGCGAGGTCGAAGAAATTGCACAATTTTTTCAAGATAAACATACATGGGAAAAATACTTTATAGGAAATGAATGCGTATATCCAGGACAAGAGACGAGAAACATGTACCCGTGCTGTTCGTTTTATGCATACACTGCTGCCAAGTAAACTGAAATGGTTCAATTGTTGTCATGTGCGCGTGGTCCGGTTGCGAGTTGGTCTGTGACCTCCCGTATCCCGATTGCGCCGCCCCCCCCAGGGAAAGACAATACGAAGAGAGGACATGGATTCGCATCGTGGTAGTCAGTGTTTTGACCAAGCTTCGACATAATGCAGCCATGAGCAGACGAGCACACGCGAGGTTCAGCAAAAAACACTCGCCGAATTGTTCCAATCCCATTCTGTGCGGCTATTTTGTTTTGTTTCGTTGGCGGGTGCCAATAGACTGACTATACGTACGTACGAGATGAGCACCTACGGTTCCACGCCTACAGCAGCAGTCAAGTAGCCGGACGGTTTGGAAGTAAAAAAGGAGTATTGGCGTACCTTTGTCACCGCGAATCTCGAATGACGTGCAGAAAACATTCCGACCACGTCGATTTGTTTCCCTGCCGTCTTCCTAGGTACAACCACCGAACACCTGTGGTTTTTCGCCTCCTAGTTCCATCCATGCGTTCTCTCGGATCTTCATTATGGGATGACGTCACACCCCCCCCCCAAAAAAGACTTTCGTCATTTCTCGTCGCAGTCGCTGCACCTTTTTCATTGTGTGGCTTCGTCTCCCCTTTTCACTGTTGCCCCTCTTTTGTGTGTGGGGTGTCCTAGGCTGTAATGAGAGCGGTGTCCATCCCGGTCATCGCGTCGAGCGGGGCTGGCGCCGTGGAGCATTTTTCGGAGGTCTTCGAAGCGACGGGGGTCCAGGCGGTGAGCAGTTTAGCTTTCGTGGTCGTAGATTCCTATTTGCTCCATGAATCAATCGCTCATTTTCTCGTTTTTTGGTCTCGATGGCCAACATCTTCCTGGCGCCCCGCTGTGTTGGTTTTATCATACAGCCCTCGTCCCTCCCTCTTGCCAGCATATTTTTTTTTTTGCATTGATGTGCAGTAGGTTCGTTTGGTGTGCCGGCGGCACGTAAACCAGCATTTTTCGTGCCGATCGTCGGAGATGCGAGTTGATCGTTAACAATGACGACTTGTGGTAGTGTGCAATTGGTGTTTCCCGGTCCTCATACAAAGGGTTTCTCGGTGGTCGTACGTGCCTTGCATCAATACGAAGCGTTTGCCTAAGTGTGTAAAGGAGGTCGCGTGGGTGTTACCTCCATGTCCCGAAGGTGTTGTTTTCAAACATGGCGTTGGATAAATCCACTTTTCTCCCCCTAGGTTTTCCAATCGTGTTCGATGCACGATTCCTTCCCAATTTTTGCTGGGCGGCTCTTTCTCTCCCTTCCCGTGTTGCTTTTGTGTACGTACGTCAAGCTCTTGTGTGTGTCTTCATTTTTCTCGGCGTTGGGTATTATTTTGCCCTGCGTTTCCTCTCGATTCAATTGAACCGGTTGCGACGTCCGCGATATGCCCGCCGGTGGTTTTATGTATGGAACCTGCGAAGCGCCGTGTATGTGTGTGTCATCGTCATGTTTGGGTGTGTGTTTCTCAATGCTTGTGTTCGTTGGCGCAGTCCTTCCTGTCTGCTGCAACTGCGTTGGTTAAATTATCACCTGTAGGACACTTGAACGATTCCCCCGCCTCCTCCCACTCCCATGTTTGTCTCTCACCAACGTTTTTTGTACTTTTGAAACACAGGCGCTCGCCGCTGGAATTTTCCATCGCAAGGAAGTATCGATATCGGAGGTTAAAGACCACCTGGCGGAGAAGGGAGTCCCTGCTAGGAGAGCCGCGTGAAGTGAAGCGATGGTAGTTACACCGCATAGTGTGAGAAGGGGGTAGAGAAATAGTTTCATCGCAAGAAGTGGAAGAGACCAACACCCCCCCGCTTCACGCGAATATGTAGCAGTTGCACCGCAAGAGGTGAGGACAAGATATGTAGCAGATCCGTCGCATGGAGTAGTGGAGATCCGGTTCCACCGCTTCGAGCGCCAAGTGTCAACACGCCGCGGACGACCGAGCTCCACCGCGTGGAGTTCAAGAAACTTGAAAAGTTCAGCCGCGTGGTGCTACAGCACCGCAGCCTGTTGGTGGCGGTCAGAGCTCCACTTTGAGTCGAACAAAGTGCAGAGAAGGGTGGCGTCGGATGAGGGAGGCCTTGGGCTAGACTGGTGGTTTGCTGCTTTAGAATGCTTGTGCTGTCGTAGAGGCATCCGCCGATGTGGGGAGCGCGCGGCAAGTGCGGAAAGCCTTCTGCTGAGAGTTGGTAGGTTAACATTGCTCCCCCCGACGGAGGTAAGCCATCTAATCTAGCTGACCCAGCGGTGTGTGAGATGCTAGTATTTAGCTGAGCCGAATGCCAGGTGGGCGTGTCCGTCGCCTGCGTAACCGGCAGGTAGGCATTCGTTGTCGATGCATACAGTCTGGACCGATTTCCCGGATTTTGGTTGCTGGGTTGAGGAAGGAGGAGAGGCAATAGCGATGTCGCTAATATTTGGGGAGGGGGTTGGCGGCGCCCCTGATGTCGTTTGAGCATCACGAGGTTTGACCAAAGTGGTGTGTATGAACTCTCGGTAGAACCTCAGGGGGGTTGGTTGGGTCCTGGAGGTGTGATTGCAACTGCGAAATCGACATGTTCTCGTTAGGAATGACGCCCAGCGGTTTCCAATTATGCTTGCGTCCACTGACACCAAAGCCTGAGCCCCCCTCATACCCTCTTTATTTTCTGCCACGCGGATCTCCTCCACAGGGTGCTGTGGCAATGCATGTGCATAACAAAGAAAAACATACTTTGAACGGAATGGAACCCACCAAGTTTCAAACTTTTTAACAGAGTTTTTCAACAAGAGTCAACTCGGCCGTATGCAGTAGTAGACTAGTGATGAAAACCTTCCGTCACGGCTTCAACTTCCCCATCAGGAAGCCAAGGATGTCATGCACTTGCTTGCCCAAAACCTGCCCAAGTGTAGTATGAAGATCGGTGTATACCAGACTGGCACACTCAAGACGAACGAGGAAAACAAATAATTTTGGCAGGCTCGTTCACTGCACAACTTGTCGATTGCTTTTTACCATTAGTCTTCTCATTCACAAGGCTGCCGTGAGATCTGCACAACAAGCCCGTGCCCTGGGCCCTGGGGAACACCATCAAGTGAAGTACACATAAAAAAAACATGTGCACATGTGAAAGAATCGCGTGCAGTTGGGAAGACTGCAGGATTTCACTCGTACACATACTATCGGTCTATGTGCGCAGGATTCGCGGATGGTTGAATGAATCAAGGTGCACTGGTGCTGCGTCAATTCGATTGCTGGAAAAGGTCAAGGGTTCGGGATAACTGCGGTCAAGGGTTCAGGATGATTGCGGTCAAGGGTTCAGGATGATTGCGGTCAAGGGTTCGGGAAAATTTCGGTCAAGGGTTCGAGATGATTGCGGTCAAGGGTTCGGGATAATTGCGGTCAAGGGTTTGGGATAACTGCGGTTGGTTGGAAAATGCCGCACCTGTTTCAAAATAATAGCCCGCCGGTAGGGGCCTCGACTGAAGCCCTTCTCCATTTGCCAGCGGTTTCACGAGGAAGGGGCGTCTAACGAGAACTCCCCCACAAATGTCAGGACCAGGAATGAATTTGTTGTGGTGTACATGAAGTGCCAACTATTCTGCGTCATCTGTCAATAATCCCCTCCCCCGCATGGTATCCTCGCAAAAAATATAAAAATATGTCGTGTGGAAGAAAGGGACGACCAAAAAAGCTTATGCGCCGTGTACTTCTGTACCATGAGCACTGCAGCTGTCCTTGGACAGATCGGTGACGGAAAATGGCAACAAGAATAAGCTCTGTTGCGCCTCCCACAACGTCGGTAGTCGTCGTTTATAGGTAAGGTGGCTGTAATGCACATAATAATTATTGCGAACAAATTCTTAAGCTTGTTGTATCCCGTTGGCAAAAACATCACGAGGAGTGAAAATACATCCCATCCGACGGTATTATTTGAGTACGCCCCGTGTCCCTCGACTGTTGTTACACTTACTTTTTGCTTTTTCTTCATCCCTCAAGGGAATCTAGTCTCACACCGAGTGTGTGTGTTGGTCATCATCCACATCCCTACATAGTCCCCAAATAGGCACCGACACCCAAGTCATGCACTGCACTGCGGAGGACGCTCGTTCAGGGCAACCAGCACGCGGCGTCACTCTTCCATGCCATGGCTAACCAACAACAACAACCTACTCTCTCCTTCATGAGCAAGTGCCGGCGTGGAGGATAACTTGGGACAAACAAAACGCAGGAAGGGCGGGGTGAGGGAAAGAAGAGCCCCCTCGTGTGCCATTTGTTGCGCTTTTCACGCAAACGAACAATCAAGCGGTGCCGGCACACCACAACCCCCCACCCGTCCTTGCTTTACATCAATTCACAGCCGCCCGACTCTACCTTGTTCACCGGGCGTCAGCGCCCCCAAATCCCGCCTCGACTTCCAAAACCATCGTACTGTGCCTGCCATTCGTTGATTCGAAACCTTCCCGAAAAACGCACGCCCAACCGGGGTTGGAACAACATAGCAAACCCCTACTAGCCCACGCCTGAACGACCAAATACACCTCAAGCGCGTGATCTACTGCCGGTGACGTACCTCCTGTCGCCGGTATCAAAAACAAAAAAAAAAACGAACGATGACTGATGTCTCTGCCGCCAGTTGACACGTCCTCGCAGATACACGCATCCCAAAACAAGTACCATCGACATTCTGCCACGACAAGCAGCAGCAGTGGACCATGACAAAAAGAAAGTTACCAACGACGTCAACAACAACATCATCATCTGTCTCGCTACCTCACGACCAACCGCTCCGTTAGATACACAGCTAAAGATATATAGATGGCCCCTTGAGCAGACAAAAAACCGGCCTTTGTTGCGACAAATCCCGAAAATCAACCCCCAAAACCCTTGTTTCAACGTAAGTGCCTCCTCTCGCCCCATGCTACAGCGTTTCCGAGCTTGTTTTCTCGCATCAACATCATCCCGTTTTGCCCATGGCTTTTCCGATTCAGTTGCCGGGGGAGGGGGAGAGGCGACAGTGGTTGAGGTCTAGAAGGCTCAAGTCCAACTTGACGTGAGTCCGTACGACATTTATTCCGAAGACGGACTTGTGGGCCGGTCAAGCATGGGGAGGACAAAAGGACGACCAGAATTTCATCGCCACCACGCAAGGCAGCAGCAGCAGCAGCAGCAGCAGCAGCAGCAGCAGCAGTAGCGGCGGCGGCAGTAGCGGCAGCGGTAGCAGCTTCAACAACAACAACAACAACAACAGCAACAACACCTACACCTACACTTTCCACAGCAACAACACCCAACGAATCGAATTGAGCACGCACAATCTCATCGCTGGCTCGCCCCATGTGCTAAGAAGCCACAGACGCGTAAAATCGGAGGTAAACTGCCTACATCTACGCCCCCCCGCCCCGCCACCCGATAACAAAAGTCACCTAAAACGCGTGGGGGTGGCAGATGAAGAAGCGCGACGCTTAACGGCGTGCTCCTCTGTTTTGGCCGGCACAATCACCCCACACGGACCACCACAGACAGAGAGAAGCAAGTCAGAGGGAACAAACAACCGACCCAAAAAAAGAACCGAAAGGAAGATGAGAAGAGCTAAGACAGACAACATGGTGGATGACTGGCGACGAGAGAGAGAGAGAGAGAGAGAGAGAGAGAAAGACAATACACACAGCCCAGAATAATATGATGATGACACTATAAAAAGAAAACCGCCGAAATACCAACCAACGAACGGAACAAACGATCGAAAAAAAACGGAAATGATGGATCACGCCATGCCCACGAGGGATGGAGACAGCGAAAACCCCGCGTAGACACCATGCACGCACGCATGGGAGAGAGGAGAGGCCAACGAGACCCACCTACTAACTCCGGAGTTTTCCGATTCGGGAAGCATCAGAACACACGGGGGGGTGCACGAGTGAAAAAAAAAAAGCATACCCCCAGACAATCAACAAACTTTCTCTTGGGGAGCGAAAACTGAGAATCAACACGCCGAAGCAGCCGGCAAAGGTAATCGCACCCGACGGTTATCGCACCCGGCCTCCATCTATCCACTCTTTCCCCGACTCAACTCGCTCCGGCCGATGCAACAAAACCCTACCGCAAGGCCAACTTGGCAAAGAGTGCGAACTCTTCGTCAACCCTGACACGAACACCAACAACAACAACCACAACAAGAAGCAGCAGCAGCGGCGGTAGCAGCGGCAGCGGCAAGTAGTCCGTCCGGGCTAGATAGATAGTCGCCAGCGGAAGCGATGACGGCACCACCAAAACGAAACATAGAAGCACTCTCCACGCGCGTGCGGCCAAGCAACGTCAACGAACATGGGCGGCCGACTTCCGGCGTGGAGATGGATTCATTCTCTTGTCACGAGGGACAAGAGAGTGAGTGTTCGCCGCCAAGCAGACATCTCGCTTGGGGGGGAGGAGGGGCAGCCGTACATTGGCAAGAGCATTCGCCGCAAACTCGTGCCCTACAACATCAAACAAAACACAGGCGCCGTAGGTTTACAGTGGTCAACAGCCCCCACACCCCCCCCGCCCTCAACCCACCCACCCCTTTGAGAAAAAGGAAGCACTAGACGTTCTTGTGTCGATCGCCCTTCTTCCTCCCAAGACATGCGCGTTGTCATGCCCAAGCCAAGGCCCACGGTCTATTGCCAAACCGAACTACCGCCGGACCTCTACTGCGCGCGGAGTACTGCGAAAAAACAGCCTAGCTTGAAAAACCGCCTCCCAATACCGGGGGCGGGTCTATCCATCAACAAGCCTATCGCGCTTTCGCGTTGCCGGGAAGGCAAAACGAACGACCTGCCTGCCGAAAAGCAGCAGCCTGCCCTTTCTACGGCGAACGCCCTGCTCAGGGTGTTTCTGTTCGGAGAACGGAGACGAAGAAAACCCCGCTCTGTTGTTGCTGTTTTGCTCCTGTTACCGATATGCGCTACCGCTGCTCTCTACCGCTCGTGCAACATAAGCCTACACATCTCTCGCGGAGTAGTGCCGGCACAGTGCCTGCCCGCCCCCGCCAGCAAAACAAAGTCCTTCCTCCCTCTCCCTTTCCTTTCCTTTCCTTTCTTTCCACTGACTGCTGTGTCAACCAACACCAAACTCAGCTGCCCTTTTTTTTCTCTTTCTTTTCTTCGTGTGTGCAACAAACCACAGACAGACAACGCCTTTTTCATCAAAGTTTTCGAGCAGAGAGACCACTCGCTAAAAGTACTCAAAACAACCCATCTCGAGACGATCCCCTCCTCTTCCTCTTACACCTCAGACCCTCAAACCAGAGCTAACTCCACCTGCCCCCCCGCCCCCGCCCTCCAGACGCTCAACATTCTACCACATCTACCAACCAGAATATATCAGCATCCAAAACCTACGTTACCCCCCCCTCCCCCAATTCCCCGCCCAGCCTTGCTCCCCGCCCCTGCTTGGTATCATCCCAACTACAATCTTCCCCAAAGCTCTCAGACTTTGACAGACTTCATTAAATGACTGAAAAAAAAGCAGAATATATACGCACGTACCAGTACGGCAAGTTTGTCAGCCTTCCCGGTCCCAACGGAACTCTCACTGCTGTGCTGTGTTCTCGATGCCGTGCCGTGCCTAAGCATCATGTCCGAAAGAAGCATCATCGTCTACGTCCCAATGTGCCGCCGAGGCATAAAGGTGCCTGCGTCGGAGGGATGTGATCGTGGGTTGGCGAAAGGGGGGCCCGGGGATGAGAAAACGTCGACACAGAGGGAGGATGTACTAATGGAAATCACGCTGTAGTCATGACACCATCAAAGCCATCATGGAGCAATATGCCAGATGAGAGGGGGGGGGGGGGAC